AAGCCCCTATAAAACTGATTTTCTGTTAATCAAAACGATCATCTACAAAAACACACAGAGAGCTCCTCCAGAATTTATCCCCAGGCTTGAGCTGTGTGTTTATGTCACAGTGCCTGCGGGTGAGCCAGGTGCTGCCCACGAGCATCCTCCATCCCGGCTTGCCCGTGGCTTTGCATTGGCACATCAGCGGTCCCAAGAGCCAAGCACCGTGTGCCCACTCCTTCCAAGCAGACTCCAACCCTCTGGGCTGGGAAACCCGGCTCCTGGCTCTTGCTCCTGTGCTCTCCCCCAGCCCTGCTGTCCTCACTTCATTTGCTTTCATCCAAGAGCTTGCGCCGCTCTCCCCTTGTGAGAGCGTCTGCTCGCCCATCTGCGAGGCTCCAAGAAGGGCTTTGCCGGGCTCCGAGCGGCCCTTCTGCTCCAGCTCCTGCTCTCCCCCCCCAATTCCCACACCACGGCTGTGCGAGGAGATTGTGTGCTGTGAATTCATGATTTTGAAAGACAACCAAGCACATAACATCAGGAAAGCTTAAGCTGTTCCAAGGCCAGAAGTAAAATCTACGCTCGAACTCAAGGAAGTATTTCAGCGCAGTGTTTCAGGTGCTTGAGAGTTGGCAAGGATGGTTTCAGCATTTACAAAGCGCCCTGCATAAAAGAAGAAATAAAATGGTTGGGACAGCAAGAGATGAGTGATTCTGCAGGCATTTGTCCCTTCCTCTAGCAGCATTTCAAGGACATCTGGACTTAGGCAGCTCAGTGAGTGCAGCAGCTCTGAGAGGCACTGGGGGAACCTTCTGTAGCAAGATGAGGGGCATGTCCATAGCAGGATCAGCACCAGTGCAGGGGAAACTCTTTGCAATGAAACCCATGAGTTCCCATTCCTCCCAGTCCAGAGTGTGTGGTCACTGCACCTCCAGGAACCCAGGGCCACCAGCAAGAACCTGGGCAGAGGAAGGGAGGTGATCTGCAAACCCGGGTGATAGCTGCTGTCCTCCATGTGCTGGTTCACAGCGCCCTGCAGTTCATTCCCATGAAAGCTTCCAATTCATTATTTTAGAAGATTTATTTTCACAAATGAGCAGCTTTTAAAAACACCTGAGTGTCCTCATCAGGGCCTTCTGAACTCACCCAAGGCTGGATGGAAAACAAAGGTGTGCGCTTGCTTTGCTTGCACACATACTACATCCTTTCGAAACGAGTAGTGCACGGCAATCATCCCCACCACTGCACAAAACACACTTGCAAATTTGTGAAGTGCTCAATATGTTTTTATGAAGTGTTTCTAACCCTCTTTTTCTTGCGATGAAAGGCTTGGCAGGGGAGAAGCTTACCTGTCCAGAAATTAGCAGGCAAGTTAAAGAGCACATGCAGCCTTACTTATCTTTCTCACTATGTTTAACCCGGCTCATGCCCTTACAGTGCTGGGGGGCAGTAGTGCTGCAGTGGTGTTCCAGGAAGGGAGAATTGGGTGCCAGGCATGAGGCTGGGGCTGGTGAAGCAGCAAACCTCAGTTGCATCGCTTGGGTCCCTGCCCTGCATTTATAACAGGGAGAGGAGAAGCATCGCTGTACCATCGGCTGCTGAAGTGCTGACTGATGGAGCCTGGGAGCAAGGGCAGGATCATTTTAGAACATGACCTGGATCCTGTATTTTTCCAGTGGCTTTTGCTCCCCTGCTCCAGGACACTTGGCCAGGCCCTGAGCAGCCCAGCTTGGGCAGTCTCTGCCATTCAAATACGCTCTGGGGTTCCACACCGTGTGGTCACTGGTGCTGCCCTTTGCAAAGCTCCATTAACTGGCGTGTTAGCCTCTCATTAAAAAGGGGGAAGAGGCTGGAGAAAGGAACCTCAATTAAGAGATGTGAAAGTCAGAGCATCAAGAAAAGCTTTTAATTGAAGAGCAGCCCTGCAGGGAAATGCAAAGGCGAGTCTTGTTTGGCAGTTTTACAGATGGTGAGAATGTCACACTTTCAGGAGAAACGAAAGGGGGGAGAAAAGCTAGCTGAGGAGGTCAGGGGCTTTGAAGAAGTAGGACATGTACAAAAGGAATGAGAGGGAAGGGAGAAATCACTGCTGCGTGGTGGCTTCTGGCTCCCCATTGCAGCCTGCTCTTCCTGGGACCCAGCACTTCCATCCCCTGGCAGGCACTCTGGTTCTGGGTGCAGTGGTGCCCAGCTCAGATAGCATACAGAGAAACCCCATTTACCCTGCTGAGTGTGTGTGACTCCACAGGACCTTCCCCTTTTTATATATATACTATATACTTATATAGATACACTCTGGTCTCTATATAAACCAGACCACCCCTGCAGTCCTGATCCAGCTCTGGGGCAACAGCACAAGAGGGACATGGAGCTGTTGGAGTGAGTCCAGAGGAGGCCATGGAGATGCTGCGAGGGCTGGAGCAGCTCTGCTCTGGAGCCAGGCTGAGAGAGCTGGGCTGGGTCAGCCTGGACAAGAGAAGGCTCCTGAAGGGGAGACCTCAGAGCAGCTCCAGTGCCTAAAGGGGCTGCAGGAAACCTGGAGAGGGGCTTTGGACAAGGGCCTGTAGGGACAGGCCAAGGGGAATGGCTTTAACCTGCCAGAGGGGAGACTGAGATGAGCTCTTAGGCAGAAGCTCTTCCCTGTGAGGGTGCTGAGGCGCTGGCACAGGGTGCCCAGAGAAGCTGTGGCTGCCCCATCCCTGGCAGTGTTCAAGGCCAGGTTGGACACAGGGGCTTGGAGCAAGCTGCTCCAGTGGAAGGTGTCCCTGCCCGTGGCAGGGGTTGGAACTCGATGAGCTTTAAGGTCCTTTCCCACACAAACCAGGCTGGGATTCTATTTAACTCAAAATGTGGAGGAGAAATCGTGTCTCTTATTAATATCATGCAATATTGGCGTGGCAGCCCCAGCCAGCTTGCCGTACCTGCCCAGATGCTGAAGGGGCAGAGGTCCAAGGGAGCAGGACCGCTGATACAGCCCTGCAGTTTTTCTCTTCCTTATTTTCATTTGACTTTCTTCCCCTCTTTCCCCTCTTTCCTCTTTTATCATTCAAGCTGTGCTTTTTTATTGCCACCATCCTGTCACAGGGGGCTCACCCCAAGTGAGCAAATGGAGCCATCAGCAGCATTTTGCACTGAAACATCTTCCACATCTCCCTAATTTATAACCTGGAGGAACAATTAAAGTCAGGTTTGAATCCCTTTCTCTCCTTAGGGAATCCATCCACAAAGCTCCTTCCCTTTGCAAACAGAGTGGGAATATCTCAGATAATTCAGTATTTTGCCATTGATGGATTTTGCTGAGCTCTTTCCAGAAAAATTAACATTTTATTTTCTTTTTTTGGATGAACTCTCTGCACTACCCCATCCCTGTCCTCTCTCATGCACAGAGCACAAAGCCAGCACAGGCTCACTACTGGAAAGCACCTGGAGGAGCGCAAGGAATGGCTCGACCCCAGCTTAGTAGGTCTCCAGAACATAAATACTCCCAGAGGAGGGGATTGCAGCCATGAAGGTCCTGTAGCTCTTGAGATTCACCTGGTTTTCATCTCGGCTCCAACTTAGTGGGAAGAGTCAGCTGTCATTCTCATTAGGAAGATGCTTCTCTGGAGGTCCACCTCACAGGGAGCAGGTGGAAACCATGGAGCTGAAATGGAGGGGGAGCTCCCTTTGGCAGCACCTATACCCAGGGCTGAGTTTTCATTAATACCTTAGGGTATTAATGCTTCTTTGTAGGCAAAAGCATTGATAAAACCAGGATGTTTTGCCAATCTGATCCCATACTGAGAGCCATGAGATCAGCAGAGGGCTGTGAAGACTAGCACTGAAATCACAGGGCAGGCTGGGAGCCATATCCAGTGCTGGATTTGTGGCAAGTCCCATTTTAAGTCATCTTTTCCCCAAAAGCCTTTTCTAGGTTTAATGCTCCTTAAATCAAAGGATGAGACCTTCACAGCTGACCAAGACTAACCAGTCTGCTCTCAGCTTCCAGGTGGCACATGCATACAAGATGCTGGGGAGTTAGCAAAAGTGAGTAGCTTGGCACAGGGAATAAACACAAGAAACTTCAGTCCTTGTTGGGAAAAAGAAGAGAGAGAACCTGGTGCCTTGAATTATTTGTGATGAATTAATTATGCCAGAAAAGGATGACGGAGGATAGGAACAGCAGTCAAAATTTCCTGCCTTGTTCCACCTACACAGCTTTCTTAGATCCACTCAAAATTAATGTGGTGTTCAAAACCAAAACCTCGCAAGTGCCGCCTGCCTCTGAGCCTAAACAGGCTTTGATTTACTACCCTGTCCAGTGGTTCTGTGCCTCATTTTCTTGCATCTCTCCAAGATGTGAACCAGGTGGGAATTGACAGGTTTGATGGTCCAAGGTCCCACTTCTTCAGGGTGGTGACAGCTCTCCCTAGATGATGCTGAACACTTGAAGATGAGACAGAGCTTTCATCATGCAAGACCAGCCTAGAACTAATGGTGTCATAGGAAACCAGAAAGCAAAATGCAAAGCAGATGGTGGGAGAGGAAGATGAGGCACAAATACTATGAGCACAAAGACTATGAGCTGAGAGCCCCTGGGGATGTTTGGGGTTGTGAGATGTGATGCCAGGAAGGAGCATCTCCCATCAGAATTGAGCTGAAGCTCCCTGAAGCCCTGAGGAGGTTTGTCCATGCTCAGCCCCTCGGGATGGGCACTGGAGAAATCTCTTTCCAGGTACTTGCTGGATTTACACAGCTCTAAGATCTGCTTTCCCATGAGACTTCCCACTGAATCTTGCACATCCCAGGGGGCTGCAGAGCACCCACCAAGCGCTGCTGTGTGTAGGCTAAGCTAAATCCAGAAGCACACAGGGTATTCCCCATGGGGGGTGTGCATTACCTGCTCTTGTGCACACAGCAGCTCCTGTTCAAGCAGGGATGAAAACCCTGCTGGGGTCAGCACACCTTTAATTAATGGCAGTTCTGCAGAACACACCATGTGTCCAGAATGACCCTGTGAAGAACTGAGGCATGCTCCCTCCATCAGGCTTTTTAATCACATGCATCAGGATTTATGGAGACATCCAGGCTGTATTTTCTGAGCTTTAGGAGGCTCTTTCTATTACAAATCCATGGATTTTTATGCATTGGGTAATGGATTTCTGATGGAATTTTGGAACTGGAAAGAAGCCACCAGCAGGGACCCTTCAGGGCATCACTCTTGGCACCTAAAGAAGGAAAAAAAAGGAGAGGGAAAATCTTAATGAAAATATGTATTTGTATAAACAATCAACGGAGATCGTGTTTGTGTGTTAAACAACCACCTTGAAATTGGTCTGTCTCAAAGGACTGAGCAATTGCAGACTACCTTAGCATGAATGATTTATGACATTCATGAACTTGGCAACTGCATCAGTTTTCCTAAACCTGGCAGCAAACACCACCTGCATATTAAGTGAAGATTTATGATTTATAAAACTCACCTCATTATGCAGAGGAACATGAATTGTCTTATGTGTGCAGTCTATAACTCCTGGGACAGATGAAAAGGCAGCTATGACACACGATTTATGTGTTCTTGCTGCTGAAGTTGGTGAGGAAAAAATTGGGAGAATAACTAGGTCTTTGAGTTGGGTATCTTCAAAACTGCCCACATCCCTCTCCCTTCCCCCCCAGAATGATGTTGTGGCTGAAATTGCCTGCTTTTTGGAAGGGAAAGAGGAAAAAAAAAGCCTTGCAAAGATGAATTGTGGAGGTCATTTGAATTACTGTGCTAAATGATGCTCTCCCTCCAACAAACACAGGGATAGGAAGCATCCGAGATGCCTCCACGGAAATAACACACTCGCTGTTGAGCTCATTGCTCGTATTTTTCCCTACTCTGTCCTTTGCTGATCTTTCTCACTCAAGGACACAAGCTCCTGGCTTCAAGGAGTGGAGAGTTTTGGCCTCAAAGAGACCAAAGTGTGGCATGAGGATAGGTGGGGAGCTCATGTACCCCAGAAAGGACTGAAGCAGAAAGCACATGACCCCACGGTACAGGTGGTTTTGGGTCAGGATAGCATTTGAAAGGCTTGAAAACAGGCAGGGCTGAGGGACTGAAAAACAAGTGCCGTGATCCATGGCGAAAATGCCCCCGGGCAGAATTTACCCCTGATCTACCACATGAGAATGAGTGAACTGTGATTTGTGTTTCCTCATTTGCTCACAAAAGAAGCACCCAGAGAGCAGATGCTGGTACAGTTTGATAGGTAGTGCTGTCAGGGGGCTGCTGGAGGGCCCTGGAGCCCTCTGACTACTGCTGAGAGCAGGCAAAATCCCAGCCCCAGGTTTCTCCTGCATGTCCAGGGCACTGGAGGATGTGGACATCCCCTCCTTTGCTGCCGTGGTTTGGGCAGGGCTCCCACAGCCTGGACAGGGGTGTCTGTGCTGTCCCACACCCCAGGGATGTGTGTCTGTGGAACAGCTGCTGCAGCAGGGATGGGGACATCAGCACGGGGACATCACTGCTGGGACCAAGGTGTGATGCTCACTTGCCCAACCAACCTCAGGCAGCTCCTGGATCTGGATGCTGGCCCACAGACAGGACATGGGGCTCCCTCCAAACCTCCTAGTATGCAGTAGGGCAGCCACATGTGGGTACATGGGATCCTTCCCTGCGTCCTTGCCAGGGCCATCTCCTTTTGAAGGAAGGGATGTGACCTGTGAGCAGCAGTTTGGAGCGCAGTCATCTGAGCTGGCCCTTCAGCTGTGCAGCATGTTGCTAATTACACCCAGGGGGGTTGGCTTCTCCTGCAGGAGAAAAACATGTGCAGAGACTTTGGGTTTGTAATTGGCTGCAGTGCTATTTAAATCAATTTAAGCTGCCCCCATGCCCAGCCTGTCTGCTTGTGCCCAGGCTGTGCTGCAGTTGTCTGTGCAGGAATTGGCCTCAGGAAATGAGCTGGGGAATGCCACCCTGGCAAAAGGCAAAGGGGCAGAGAGCCCTCAGCAGCCCAGGTCCCCTCAGATAAGTGGGGCTGTGGGAGCTCACAGAGATCAAGACATGGAGATCTTGGATAGTGTCCTCCTTCAGCAATGAAGGGGTTGGTCTGTGCCCATGTTGTACCCTGGCATTATGGGGAGCCCGGGCTGAGCAGAAGGGGAGGCACTGGAGCTGGATGCAGTCAGGATGTGTTCTGCTGCTTGGGGGGACACAATTTGCTGTTTATTTTCTGCAGTAAAAACCTGCACTGAAGCTCTTGAAGATATACGTTGGTGCTACTGGCAAAGGATGGAGTCAGGAATGTGAACAATTTTATGTTTTCCTCCCTCATTGTCTTATTGCCAAGGCAGCAGAGAAGGAGCATTTCTTCTTTCGAAGCATAAATCAGGGATTTTTCTCCTCCAAATGTTGCCCTTTTGTCTTGTGAGGCTGATTTTAAATTGAAATTATTGTAACTGGATGTATTAAATAAACTGCAGGCTCTACCTGGTCCGGGTGTGTTGGCAGCAGCTGATCCAACAGGAGCTTCCTGGCACGGGCCCTAGCAGGCAGGGAAGTCTTTCTCTCCTGGCTCTGTATTCAGTCGGCACAAAGCAAAGTGGGTTTGCACAGAGGAGCTGCACAAGGTTCACAGCATTGTAGTTTACAAAGGAGAGGACATGTACTGAGGAAATAACAAAGGAAATAGCAAGTACGTATCAGTGGAGTGATTTATATTGTTTTCAGAATAAAAAGCTGTATTCTTTCTCAAAAGACAAAGATGCTGCCTCAGGATGTGTGAGCTGGCTGGAGAGTTTTGCATCCCCTGAGCTGCATCAGGAATGGGAAGTGATGATTCTCAGCTGGGGGATAGGAATCCAGACAGCAAGTTAAACTAGCATGGGTAAGAGAACAGCAGGGAACAAGGAACCGGCTCAGAGGGGACAGTGTGGTAACACACCCTCATGATGGTCTGGAGGGAGCACAGAGCACTCCGAGTTCCCACTACTGTAAATTCGGTGACTCTGCAAATACCAGAGAGGGCACAAAGAGCCAGGGGAGGACCGGAGGCAGCGGCAAGGGAGAGATTCATGCCAGCAGAGGCATGTGTGTCGCAGGGGAGTGATCTGTCCAAAGCCATTAATAAGGGAGAAGTTAGGGAAGCAGAAACCTTTGGGTCTCATGCTGGGACGATGGAGGGCATGTTGGAGAGCAGATGAGCCTATTCCAAGACCCCAGACCAGAGCAAAGGAGTGGTGTGTGCTGGAAAACCCTACCACGAGCCAGTGGGAGAGGATGAATCCAGCCTTGCTCAGCAAAGGGCAGAGGGGAGTCTTGTGCAAATACAATGTGAACAGAGTGGTCTGCAGGGGCTTTCCCTCTGAGCTGAGCCCTGTCAGCCTTCCCACCACGGCACAGCTTGGCTACAGGTGACCTTCAAACCAGCCTCTCCTCTTGGCAGGGCTGAAACCAGCCCTCGGAGCCACAGCATCCTTCCCCAAACCAGCCTCTCTTTGTACCTTAGCCACTTCAGATCAGGGTTGAAAGAATTCTGCAGAGAATAGCCTTTGGGAGTTTTAATTTGTAACACACTAACTCCCCTCATTATTATAGTTCCTGGAGGGACCTCAGATCCATAATACGGCAGCTGCAACCATGTAGGGGTGAGATGTGGTTTGCTGCTCCCTGCAGTTGCCTGCATCCTCGGCTGAGTGACAGCTCTGTGCCACATGCATGCAGGAAGGTCTGAGCTGCCTGCACACTCACAGGCAGCCTTCACAACTGCCTCATTGCTGCTTTGTGTGGCTTTTCTGGTTTATCTTGTGATGGTCTCCAGGCTGACGCTTGTTGCCAGCCCCACTGGAAACACAGGAGTGAAACCAGGGAAGCCTGGAAGGATGCTGGGGGTTGACCAGCTCTGTACTGAATGCCCACCCCAAACCCTCACGTTCCTGCTGCAATTCCCCCATGATGATTACCTAGGAAAGCATCTGGCTGGTGGTTCATTACAACACCGGTGTGTATGAACCATTAAACACGCAAGTCAGACACCTGGATCCCTTCCACCCCTGCAAGAGGGATGGCTCATTTGTGCCCTGCTGCCCTCTCCTCACGGCTCCTGTATGCAGCAGCCCACCTTTCCCCTGCCAGCCCTTCCCTAAGCGTTTGGCAGTAACTCTGAATTCAAATAGGACTTTCTCCTCCTGCGCACGGAGCGTGGTGGGACACGGTCTGTGACTCACGCTGACTCAGGGTGCAGGCTGATGCCACGCTGTGTTTGATCCATCACTGCGTTTTATATTAGGCTCCGTTTCAGTGAGCAGGAAAGCCACTGAAGTGCAGCTGTTTTGCAGCTGCCTCGACGAGCCTTTTCACACCGGCCCACCTAAAGTCACCCCATCAGCACTCAGGGTAACTCCAGTGCACTGAGGAGCCAGAGAAGGAGCTGCCCTGCAATCCCTGCTGGTGGGAAATACCAAAGGTGGAGAAGCTAACACAGAGCTCCCCACAGGCCTTGTCCTGCTGCTGGCAGCATTGGGAGATGCCTGCAACATGCTCCTTCCACTGAAAAGTGTATGTATCCTCCGTTTACAGTGACATCCTTCTGAGACACATGCCTACAGAGCTGACAAATGCAGCCAAGTGGCTTGAGGCTTGTAGGAAAAGAGTTACAGCCCCGTTCTGCTCCTACAGGAGTCAAGCAACTGCTCCACTGCTAATCCCTGTGGGAGCAAGGGCAGGACATCCACATGGAGCTGTGTTCGCAGCTGCCAAAGGGCTGCCCCACTGTGATACCAGCCTCTGTGGTGCTTCAAAGCAGCTTCATGTCTGGCAACAATTAACAGGAAGGAAATTAATTGGGTCCCCACAGGGCAGCTCCTTCACACTGTTTCTGTGGCACTGTGCTGCGGGCAGCCAGTGCCTGGTCCTCGCTGCAGATGGTCCCAGAGGAATCCTATTGCCTTGCCCTGCCAGCTCTCCCAGTTCTTCCCTTTCCCTAGGAAGGCTCAAGGGCAGGCAAGTGCAAGGGCAGAGGATGCAGAGCATCCTCTGGGTCACCCAAAGCCAGCAAGCTGGAAGCTCTTGATCTCTTGCAAGGGGTGCTCTGTGTGTCAGCCTGTTGCCTGCACACAAAGGGGTATGGCCATGTATTTAGCCAGCGCTACTGGCTGTGTAGCACAATTTTGGGAGCAGAGGGGAACCCATCTGAGGGGATCCATGTGTGTGGGAGGAGTGGGAAGAGCAGAAGATGCAAAGGACATTGGAAGTGGTGCAGCTGAGGGCAGCAACCAAAGGAAATTTGAGGCCCAAAGCTGTGGCTCTTCGTGAGCAGGAGAGTGTCTCGCATTTGAGGAGTGGAGGCTGAACCTGGCCTTTCATGGGGCATTTGGAGGGCTCTTGCTACCTGCAGTTTGCTGTGCCTGGATGGCAGATACACAGGCACTGACACCTAGAGTGAGCCAGACCCAGGGTGCTGTTCCCAAGGCTGCTGCAGGTCGTACCTGCATCCTTACAGCAGCCAGGGGAGGGATTTTGTGACCTTAGAGCAGGAGGATTCCCTCCGTCTCGTTTTGCCACCTCTGCAGAGACTGCTGAAGCATTTGCCCGTTGCTTTACCAGTAGCTGTGAAGGGCTGCTTTGCTGCGGGAGGGGACCGCCAGCCCCTCTGGCCTCGGAGATGAAAGGAGGGCAGGGGGGAGTGGCCCAGGCAGAGCCCCCAGAGCCGCTTCTGAGCGCGTTCGTGTTTTAATTGCAGCCCTGCCAACAGTTGGGAGCTGTCAGCGATGTGAATTAAGCTGTCATTCTGCCGGGCTCACGATTCACAGGAGCAGCCTGAAAAGCCGCGCTAGCACGGCTGGCTGCTGCCCCTTCCTGGTGACGGGAGAGGGTGACACTTGCACAAACCCTCCTGCCCTGCTGGATCTGAGCTGGCCCATCCCGGGACTCACTCTTTGCATAAGCAAAGATGCCTGAAGAATGGAGCTCACCTGAGACCTCCCCTGCAGTCCTGATCCAGCTCTGGGGCAACAGCACAAGAGGGATGCGGAGCTGTTGGAGTGAGTCCAGAGGAGGCCACAGAGGTGCTGCAAGGGCTGGAGCAGCTCTGCTCTGGAGCCAGGCTGAGAGAGCTGGGCTGGGTCAGCCTGGAGAAGAGAAGGCTCCTGAAGGGGAGACCTCAGAGCAGCTCCAGTGCCTGAAGGGGCTGCAGGAAACCTGGAGAGGGGCTTTGGACAAGGGCCTGTAGGGACAGGCCAAGGGGAATGGCTTTAACCTGCCAGAGGGGAGACTGAGATGAGCTCTTAGGCAGAAGCTCTTCCCTGTGAGGGTGCTGAGGCGCTGGCACAGGGTGCCCAGAGAAGCTGTGGCTGCCCCATCCCTGGCAGTGTTCAAGGCCAGGTTGGACACAGGGCCTTGGAGCAAGCTGCCCCAGTGGAAGGTGTCCCTGCCCGTGGCAGGGGTTGGGACTGGACAGGCTTTAAGGTCCCTTCCAACACAAACTGTTCCAGCATTCTGTGAAGCCAGGCTTTTTGGAGCCATGCAGTAACTGTGACCTAAACAGCTCTGGCGCGTGTGCGCGCTGCTCCTGACACAGCCGCATGGCTGCTACTTACTGTGCCCCAGAGCTGGTTGGGGCGGCAGGAAACCAGCCCGCTCTGGCAGCAACCAGCACACGGAGCCACCCCTGTCCCTTCCCTTCCCACCCCAAACCCGCAGTGCCGCCGGGGAGCGCAGCTCCGGCCCTTGCGGTCTCCTCTGGAGAGCCGGGGTGGGTGAGGGCGGCCCTGCGCCGACACGGGCAGCCCTTTGTGGGGCAGGGGCGCGTCCGAGCACCCCTTGGCCAGCACCAGCGCGGGGCTCCACAAGGCCGGGCCCCGAGGCGCGGAGCTGAGCGGGCCCGGGGCCCAAACCACCGCAGGGCAAGCCCGAGCCCGCGCGGGGCTCATCCGGCGCAGCCGCACCAGCGGTAGCGCAGACCGCGCATGCGAGGAACCGGACCGAGCTGCGCATGCGCACCACGCGCCCTGACGCAAGGCCGCTGCAATCGCCCTGCGTTTTATCCTGTCCGACCTTGAGTGCGAGGCCGCGCGCGGGACTGGGGCCGCCCGCCGGTGTGCCGGTTCGCAGCGGCGCCTCGGAGCGCTCGCGTGTCTCCCCGTCGCACGCCCCCCGAGGCAGCGAGCTCTCGTATAGCCTCAGGGAGGCATCACGCAGCCGCGGCCCCGGTGTTGGTATCCGAGCGGAGCGCCGACAGCGAGCGGGCGGGTCAGGCGATCAGCGGGACAGCCCGCGCCGGGGGTCCTGCGGCGCGCTATTCCCCCCCCGCGGCCCACGTGGGTGGAGGATTCCAGAAGAGCCGCGGCCCCGCTCGCAGCCGGTCCCGGTCCCCGTCCCGCCGCCGCCATGCTCAGTGCCAGCCGCGCCGCCGCCCGCCTCCCGCTGCTCCTGCCGCATGGCGGCCCCGCGCCCGCCGCTCCCAGCGTGGCGCAGGTGAGCGACCGGGGAGGCCTGGGGTGGGGTGTGGGGAGCAGAGGAGGCCCGGAGGGGCTGTGGGGTACAGGGGGAGCGGGCGGTGGGGACGGCGCTGCCAGCGGGCAAGTCCCGGCGCGGGGCCGGGGCCGGGGCTAGGCCTCGGTCCAGAGCCCTGCCTCGTTGGGCAGTCTCCGGTACGGGGAGGGTGTTATGGAGTGAGCCCTTAATGGCGTAGCGGCGGTAGCGAGGAGGGGACGGCGGCCCGGGAGCGCGGTCCGCGGGCCTGGGTCTGCTCTCGGGGAGGTCTGTAGTGAGATCGCTGAGCTCCTCACCTCGTGTGCGGGGGCAGCGCAGGGAGAGGCCGGGGAGGACAATCCGCCCGGCCCTGCCGCTCGGTGCGGCGCAGAGCAGGCCGCGGCATTGGGCACGGCGCTGCCTGGGCCCTGCAGCCTTCCCAGCCCGGGGAGCGCGGCCAGGCCGAGCAGCTCGAAGAATTAACGAAACAGCCATGTCCCGGGGCGGGCCTGGCCCTGGTAAGGTCGTTAAAAGTCCGTTCTGAAAGCAGGAGAAGGGGCGGTGCTTTCAGAGTCTGCAGGGTGTTGATTTGCGTGTGCGAAATTACTGCGAAGAGAAACTTCTTTTTTCTTCAAAATCTCGGCTGCGGGTTCGTCAGGGGATCTAGGGGATCATTTGTTGCTGACCACGCATAAGGCTTTGGGAAGTGGGGTTAATGTTTACTTGCTGCTCTTCATTGAGAGCCGAAGGTTCAATGTTAATTCACTGAACCGTTTTTTGACTGGTAGCATGTTCCTGGACTGTTTGGTGTGAGGGAAATGGCTCCGGTAATACAATGAGTAAGTGCAGTAGTTGCTCTTTTTATGGCAGTCTGAATCCTAAATTCTTCCTTACTTTGTTCTTACAAAATAAAACATTGCAGTAGGACCGTGTTGCTTCAGAAGTTGTTAGCTTTTGAAGGTCTTGGCTTGAAGATTGCTGAGTGTTTAAAACTAAGTTTTCATTGGA